CGTCTGCTCCGTGATCTCTACCTCCGGGCATTGCCCCATTCTGGTTCTCCCGTCTCTCACCTCATCCCAGCCTCAGCCCGGCCCTGAGTCCACGCTCACCCACTTTTACAAAGTGCTGGCTCCCGCCCCCACACTTCCTCCAGCCTTGTCCTGCTGTGGTGCTCCTGTCCGCTCCCAGCACCTGCATGGCAGTCAGAGGGTTGAGAAGCGAGGAAAGGTCTGCTGGCTTCCTGCACCTTTCCCAGCTCCAGCTGCAGGGCTGCTGAACATCACTGGAAAATGTGTTCTTCTAGCATGCAGGCCCAGTCACTAAGTCGTGTCTGGCTCTTCGAGACCCCGTGGACTGTAGCCCACCCAGGCTCCTCTGTCCCTGGGATTTTCAGGCAAGAATACTGGAGTGGGTTGCTATTTCCTCCTCAAGGGGATTTGCCCAACCCAGGGATCAAACCCACGTCTCTTGCATCTCATGTTTGGCAGGCAGGTTCTTTACCACTGAGCCACCTGGGAAGCCCAAGTTCTTACTTGAGTCCATCACAACTCAAGCGGCTGGAGGGGACCGGGGCGAGGTGGGAGTGATCAGAGAGGGTGTATTCATTATTCCTTCTTAAAATCCCCAAACAAGCTGAATCAAATGTCTTCCCTGTCTCCTGCCCCCAAGCCCCTTCTCCCTCAGCTGTGCCTTGCTTCCTACTTTACGAAGAGACCAGCTGATTCCTTTCTGCAGAAAACACCTCTTTCCCTTCCGTCTCTTTATCTGTGCCTCTCCCAGGAAGGAAGTGCCCTTTCTTGTAAAGGCTGTCCCTTCCCACTCCTCCTGGGGCTCCACCACCCCTTCACATGCTTACATTTTCAATTTCCCAGTTTCCACCAGCACCTCCTACGCAGCCTACAATCAGGCTAGGTCACCCTGCTCCCCCCTTGGGTCCTATTCTTGTCTCCCTCCTCTTTCTTCCCTTCCAAGCACAGTGCAAGGGGTACCAGCAGCTGCCCTGATTGGTCACTCAGCCTCCTATCACCCCAGCACCCTCCCCATCTCACAAGCCTGAGGAATGATGGTCCACAGGGGACACTTTTCCTTGCTCCTCAGTCCTCTGACTGCACACAGCATTTGACCCTTTGGACCACCACCCCCTTCTCCAAAAGTCCTTGTTTTTCCTGCTATTTCCCCTTCCTGAATGTCTCCCCACTTCTCTGATTACCACTACTTGGTTGCTGTTCGCTGTCTCTCCCTCACTCCCCACATCTGAGAGCTCTCCGGGCTTCCCCTCTCATCCTCTTCTCAAGCTAAGTTCATTGCTTCACCTCTCTGCAAAGGACCCACAATCTGTCCCTGCGCCTCTGCCCTGTGACCAGAGTCTCACTCCACAAGCTGCCTCTGGAAAATTCCATCTACACATTCTGGCCAAGCATACTCAAAATGGCACTGATGTCTTCCTTCAACAAAGATTTGTATGGACCAGATGCCAGGCCAATATCCTGACACCACATGTAGAAAGGTTAGTAAGAGCCAGTCCTTCCTTTCCAGGCTTTCATCATCTAGAGAAAGAGACAGACATAGATAATCAGATGACTGCAAAACAGTATGGAAATGCAGAGAGACAGCCATGAAAAAGTATGCATTGAAGAGAAGCCCTTAATGGGAAGTCTGGAAGCTTTTTGGAAAGGTAGTATGCCTGATTCGAGTCCCAAAAAATAAGTACAAAGAAATAACTATGAAAAATTATGAGACCAGAATTTTAGTTAAGATAGCAGAACTTACTGATCATGTAGCATTGATTGACTGTACTTGGCAGAGACACAAACAAGTCAAGCTCGACACCTGAGATTCTGGCAACACCATTCTCCCTGGTACCCAGTACTCGGAATCTCAAAGCCATGTTGACTTCTTCTTCCTCCACCCCTTCCAACCAATAGTCTGATTCAGGAAATTGTACTTTCATATTGTCTCTAAAACCATCCTTACTTTGCTCTTCCACTGCCGTCTTCATAGCTCAAGCCGCCTTTGAATTCTGCTTCTACACTGGAATTCTTTCTCCCACCCATAACTCTGCCTAAAATAATCTTGTTCACACTGTAGAATGATATCTTAGTGAAACCAAGTCCCTCTATATTGTTTGTATAAATAGATTCACATGTGTGTATATGGAAGAGACAAGATATAACAAGATAATAAGAGTTGGCATGCAGTGAATGCCTGCTCCTTAAGTCCTAATGAATTGACAGTCCTTTGAGGTAAGTAACATTCTCCCCAATTTACAGATGAGCAAACCGAGGCAAAGAAAGTTCAAGCATTTGCCTTACACCATGCAGGGAGTAAGTAACAGAGCCCACATGTAGACTCAGACAGTTAATTCTGAACCACTGTGCCTCTTGCCAAGAAGATGGGGAAGCGGGCAGGTCATGGGAAAGAGCTTTCCTTTTTCACTTTATGCACCTCCTTATTGTTTAAAATTCAAAGAGTGGGAATATGTTGTTTTTGTAACTGGGGGAGGGATGAAGGGAGGGAAAAGAAGAGGAGAGGAGAGGAAGGGAGGGGAAATAAGAGGGAAAGGGAGAGAGGGATGGAGGAAGGGGAGGACAGGAGGCAGACAGAGACAGAGGGAGCATCGAGCAAGGATGTGGAGGAGAGAGAGGGTACTTTGTCTCCCTTGCTGCTATAGCAAATTACCACATGTTGTTGTTGCTGTTTAGTCGATAAGCCTGTCCGACTCTTTGTGACCCCATGGACTGTAGCCCGCCAGGCTCCTCTGTCCATGGGATTTCTCAGGCAAGAATACTGGAGTGGGTTGCCATGCCCTTCTCGAGGGGATCTCCCCAAGCCAGGGATCGAACCCAAGTCTCCTGCATTGACAGGCGGATTCTTTAATCACTGAGCCAACAAATGACCACATACTTAGTGGTTTAAACAATAGAGACTTATTACCTTCATGCAAAATGCTGGGCTGGATGAAGCACAAGCTAAAAATCAAGATTGCTGGGAGAAATATCAATAGCCTCAGATATGCAGATGACCCCACCCTTACGGCAGAAAGTGAAGAGGAACTGAAGAGCCTCTTGATGAAAGTGAAAAAGGAGAGTGAAAAAGCTGGCTTAAAACTCAACATTCAGAAAACTAAGATCATGGCATCCAGTCCCATCACTTCATGGCAAATAGATGGGGAAACAATAACAGACTTTATTTTCTTGGGCTTCAAAATCACTGCAGATGGTGACTGCAGACATGAAATTAAAAGATACTTGCTCCTTGGAAGAAAAGCTATGACAAACCTAGATAGCATATTAATAAAGCAGAGACATTACTCTGTTGACGAAGTTTTGTTTAGTCAAAGCTATGATTTTTCTAGTAGTCATGTATGGATGTAAGAGTTGGACCTTAAAGAAAGCTGAGCGCAGAAGAATTGATACTTTTGAACTGTAGTGTTGGAGAAGACTCTTGAGAGTCCCTTGGACTGCAAGGAGATCCAACCAGTCCATCCTAAAGGAGATCAGTCCTGGGTATTCATTGGAGGGACTGATGTTGAAGCTGAAACTCCAATACTTTGGCCACCTGATGCGAATAGCTGGCTCATTTGAAAAGACCCTGATGCTGGGAAAGATTGAAGGCAGGAGGAGAAGGGGACGACAGAGGATGGGATGGTTGGATGGCATCACTGACTCAATGGACATGAGTTTGAGCAAGCTCCGGGAGTTGGTGATGGACAGGGAAGCCTGGCATGCTGCCATCCATGGAGTCGCAAAGAGTCGGACACGACTGAGTGACTTAACTGAATCTGAACCTTATGCTCTAGGCATAAGAGGTCCAAAATGAGTCAGCAGGATTCCATTCCTTCCAGAGCCCCTAAGCAGAGAAAATCCATTTACTTGCTTTTTCCAGCCTCTGGAGGCTGCCTCTGGTTCTTGGCTTATGGCCTCCTCCTCCCCGACCTTCAAATCCAGGAGTCTTTTATCTCCAAATCTCCCTCTAATGCCGGCCCTCCTGCCCCCCTCTCATAAGGACCCTCATGATTACATTTCAAGCTTATCTGGATAATCTAGGATAATCTCCCCACCTCAAGATCCTTCATTCAATCATATTTGCAAAGTTCTTTTGCCACATAAGTTATTCACATGTCCTGAGAATTGAAAACTTTGCCATTTCCATTCCATACACTGTGCGGTGCGGTGCCTAAGGCATGTCCTACTCCTTGTGCCCCCGTGGACTGCAGCCCGCCAGGCTCCTCTGTCCATGGGATTCTCCAGGCAAGAATCCTGGAATGTATTGCCATGCCCTCCTCCAGGGGAAACTTCCTAACCCAGGAATAGAACCCCAGTCTCATATGTAAAATAGATAACCAGAAAGGACCTACTGAATAGAACACGGAATCCTACTCAGTCTCTTATAATAACCTATAATGGGAAAGATTCTTGAAAAGAAGATATGTATCTCTTTGATGCACACCTGAAACTAACAGCACTGTAAACAGCTAGACTTCAATACAAACTTTCAGTGAACAATTTCATGGACATTTCAAACGGTGGGAGCTTGGAATTCTTATTCCATCTACCACCGGGAAGAAAAGGGGGAAGGGAGGAGAGAGGGGAGAAAGAACAAGTTCCACCCAAACTTTAGGACTCCTCTTCCCCCGCATTTGTCCTGATTTTTGTTTTTCAGCTGGATGTTTTCTCTTCCATCTCGGAACCCCAGCTCTCCCTTGCTTCCGCGTCCTCTGGGCCCTGAGAGAATGTAGCTCCTGAAAACTGGAACTGTGCCTTTCTCCTCCTGACCCCGTCTGAAGCCACGCACGTGCGTCCTGCAGCACACGGGCTCAACAATATTTGTGGGACTGGATTGAGTTGGTGAAAGCGTGGCTTCTCTGCCAGGACCTGCCCTCGTGGCCTCAACGGCCCGTCTCGAGATTACCTGTCTCAGGAATGAAGTTGCTGAGCCCGGCCCGGCCGTGCCTTTCAGAGCGTGTTTGGGTTGGCTCTGCCAAGGGCAGATGATTGCTCCTGTCACTCACTTCCCAAGAACCCGCGCAGCCAGCCCAGGTGGGCAGGGCCGCCTGACCCGGCTTGGGAGTTGCCATGGCAGCCGGTGGGGCGGGGCTTCGGCTCACCTGCCCGAGTGACGGGAAACATCGTGCAGGCCTCCGAAGCCGCCATCCGCGACGCTGCAGAAGCCCAGGGCAGGGCTGACACCAGCTACCTGGATGCTTCCATATGGCCTCTCCCCACCCCACCCCTACCTCTCCAGTTAGCTGGTGCTGCTGCTGTTTTAATAAAGATGAAAGAGGAGGGTAGGATAAGTTAGGAGTTGGGGATTAACACATATACACTGCCTGCCTGCTATACCTGCTAAGTCGCTTCAGTCGTGTCCGACTCTCCGAGACCCTATGGACAGTAACCCGCCAGGTTCCTCGGTCCATGCGATTCTCCAGGCAAGAATACTGGACTGGCCTGCTGAGCCCTCCTCCAGGAGATCTTCCCCACCCAGGGATGGAACCTGCATTTCTTATGTCTCCTTTATTGGCAGGTAGGTTCTTTACCACTAGCACCACCTGGGAACCAGCAGGGACCTACTGTATAGCACATGGAACCCTATTCAATAGTTTATAATAACCTGAAACTTTATAATAATGGAAAAGATTCTGAAAAAGAAGCTATATGTCACTTTGAGATACACCTGAAAGTAACACACCATTGTTAGCAGCTCTACTTCAATACAAATTTTTCATTTCTGTGAAATTAAAAAAGAAAGGTGTTGGCTATGGATGCTCAGAGGGTACTTTTTTTTTTTTTTAAGGAGTCAAGAATACAGAGAATTTCAGAAACATTAGATTCAATGTGACTGTGACACTTCACACAAGGAGCCTCAACCAGCACCGAGGCCACAGATGTCTGGTTTGAGGCAACCTGAACTGCAGCCCATAATGAGTCCCAGGGAGCAGACCCAAGGTCAATACCAAGGCAGCTGGCCAAGGGGGCTTCCTTCTTTGGATGGGACCACAAGGAAAGCCCCACAGCACCCAGGACGACCCAACAAGGAGGCCCTGTGCAGCCCCCAAGACAGGGCACAGCCCACCGGAGCAGCCCCAGCCCAGGAACAAGGAAGCCTGGCTTCAATATGCAGTTCTCATCTGCACCTCTCTCTGGTCCTGTTGCCTGGGGGCTCTCTGCTTCTCTCTCTCTCTCTCTCTGTCAGTCTCCCCCTCCAACAACACATCCTCCAGATATCAGCAAGACACCCAAAGCAAAATGAGGAGAGAGTGAAGAGAAACCTGATCTAGGAGCAACGGGTGGGGTGAAGCTCTTCTAAAAGCAACATACTCTCCTGTGTTTGTGAATAACCCCCTCATTCATTCAACAAACAGGCACCCAGTGCCTGCCACCTTCCCAGCACTGCTCTGGGAGCTGGAAAACAGACACTGCCTCGGCCCCCGCCCCTGCCCCTGGGGAAGGGAGACAGAAATAAACAAGATAAATAAATGAAATGGACAGCATTTAAGACAGCAATGAATGCTAAAGAAAAGTATGAAGCAGAGAAGGTGGGGAAGAAGTGCAGAGGGAGCTGCAGTGTTGGCAGGGTGAGGCCAGGTACAGTGTCAGCTCCCACTGACTGCTCTCAGAGGATGCCTTTATCATCTTTTAATGAGAGGATAACCAGCTAACAATATTGTGATGGCTTTTGACATACCTCGACATGAATCAGCCACAGGTATACATGTGTCCCCTCCCTCCTGAGTCTCCTCCCCACCTCCCAGCCCGTCCCGCCCCGCTAGGTTGTCACAGAGCACACGGTGGGAGTTCTCTGCACCACACAGCAGATTCCCATGGATGATTTGTTTTACATATGGCAATGTGTGTGTTTCAATGCTGTTCTCTCAAATCATCCCACCCTCTCCTTCCCAGAGGATGTCCTTAGATTCTCTGTGAAGCCATCTCACTCTCGGAATCCCCAAGTCCCACTGGGCCCAAGACTCTGCCTTCCAGCTTTGGCTCCCCTGCCCCGTTTCATGCCTGCTGATCTTCTTCCTACTGTCTGGGAGCTCCTGTATCTAGATTTCAGTAACTGGAACTACAAACACCCCTCACTGCTTACAGAAAAGTCCTCCCACCTGGTCAAAGCCAGTTAGTCGCTTGAACCAGTCTTCAAATAACCCACTGCAAGCCCAAAGCATGGCACGGTTGGATGCATGACATGCATCCGCACTGGAAAGCAGGCACAACTGATGTCCAGTAACAGGAGCCCAGGATGCTTGAACAAACTAGTGCACACATGTTTACTCGCTCCGTAATGTCTGACACCGTGACCCCGTGGACTATAGCCCAGCAGGCTCCTCAGTCCGTGGGATTCTCCAGGCAAGAACACTGGAGTGGGTTGCCATGCCCTCCTCTGGGGGATCTTCCCGACCCAGGGATCGAACCTGGGTCTCCTGAGTCTGGTGCATTGACAGGTGGATCATTTACTGCTGAGCCAGCAGGGAAGCCCTGAGTAAACTAGGCATCTGCTCAAAGAACTGTGAAGTCGCCACCTTACATTGTAACAGGGTTTCTCACCTCAGCACTATTGATATTTGGGGCCGGAAGATTCTTTGGAATGCACTGCAGGATGTTAGCAGCCCCCCAAGCCTCTACCCGTTAGATGCCAGTGGCAACCCACCCCCCGCTGGTTGTGACAACCAAACATGTCTCCAGACATGGCCAGCAGTCCCCTGCCTGGCAAAATCACACCCCTCTATTGAGAATCACTGCATTAGAAATTCGAAGCCTATGTCAAAATATGGAAAAGTGAGTGAAAAATCAGAACAGTGTGACAAAGAATTTCTTCCTGATTCATGAGTTTATTCCTACCATCTTACAAAGGAATACAATGATCTATCAGATCTCATTATGCACTTAACGATTTGCCGTTTTAAAAAAATAAAAAATTAATAAAAGCAGAAAATCTGGAGCATATTGCCCCCATGATAGAGGGAAAACAAGACAGCAGCAACAACAAAAACAAACAAAAAACATCATGCACAAACACCTCTATGCTGTACCTTCCCTGTAATTATTATGACATTAAAAAAAAGAAAATAGTTTGATTTGCTGGGTTAGCAGGATTGTAGGTAATATTTTCTACTTTGGTGTTTTAGTGTTATTATGAAATTATGTAGTGAAGTAATTACATTTTTGAAATCTCTCTCTGAGGTAAGTCTCTCACATGGCAACAGTGATGGAGAGCCGTGGTTTGATGGGCATCTATGGGATTTTGTTAATGATGGTAGAATTCAGAGGAGAAAATTCTGGCCTCGCTGCTTTAGGGCAGCTCACTCCTTCAAAAGATAGCTCGCCAGATAGCAGGAGGGGCAGGATTTCGCCTTGAGTATGATGGAAATGACACCACCATCTGAAAGACAGAGCTCCAAACCTCCAGGTGTGACTCTAAAGGTGACTCTTCTGAAAAGCAAGCTTTGGGGACATTGGGACTCTATTTGAAAAATCGCATGGTCCCCCCTACCACACCACCCCAGACTTTCTGGCCAAATTTCATGCCTATTTTTCAAGGGAGTACTGCAACTCCTGCTTAATAACCGACCCAAATGCTCACAAGCTACATCTTTTCTTCCTATGTGGCAGCACAGTTGATTGCAGTTGGCTGGAAAAAAATCAAGTCTTTGCTAATGACTGGGGGTAACAAAATGGAAAAGCACAAAGCCTAACTGAAAATCTAGGTCATCTCTCCTGTAAAATGCTGCTTACTTCTTTTCAGTTGTGTGTGTGTGTGTGTGCTCAGTTGCTAAGTCATGTCTGAGCCTTCTGCCACCCATGGACTGTAGCCCGCCAGGCTCCTCTGTCCATGGGATTTCCCAGGAAAGAATACTGCAGAGGGTTGCCATTTCCTCCTCCAGGGGATCTTCTGGACCCAGGGATCAAACCCAGATTTCCTGTGTTGGTGGACAGTTTACCGCTCAAGCCATCTGAGAAGGCTATTCAGTTAGCAGAACACCTTAATACCCACCTCCTTCCTGTCTCTCCTTCATCTGAGTATGACAGCCATCGTTCTCAACATCCACGGTGCAGGGGCATGATCCTTGGTAGTCATTCTTCCGAGTTTTGACATAAAGAAAAGGTTATGTTCTCTTCTTCCTCATAGCAGGATTCCTGACTAAAAGTTTCTGTCTCTTTCCAAATCAAGAGACATCAGAGATACAAAGAAGACCATGCCTACCCTGCGAAAACTGACTCATTTGAAACAACCCTGAAGCTGGGAAAGACTGAAGGTGGGAGAAGGGGACGACAGAGGATGAGATGGCTGGATGGCACTGCTGACTCAATGGACATGAGTTTTGAGTAAACTCCAGGAGTTGGTGATGGACAGGGAGGCCAGGCGTGCTGCAGTCCATGGGGTCGCAAAGAGTCGGACACGACTGAGCCACTGAACTGAACTGAACTGAACTGAATCCAGTGAAAGCCACCCAAATCCCACACGTCATGTCTGAATACCCTGTAACACAATCCCTGCATTTGCTTAAGAGATGCTTGCATGCAGCAACCTTCAAAGTGATTGTGCGTTCTTCCTATGTGCACAGCCCATCAATTTCTATCACTTTCTCTGGTACCTTACATATGCTCTTAACTCTTATCCAACACAACACCCAGCAAAAGTAACTTACTCTTGGCAGTGAATTAAGACGAGGAGGCTGGACAAAGCAGGCCAGTGCCAGACAGGAGTTCAGTGTACCTGTCAGAGACCGATAGCTTGGGTTCAAACCCCGCCATTTTTTAGTGATCTGACTCTGAAAAAATAAGATTAACGTTTTAATGCACATCAGTTTCTTGATCTGAAGCTTGCAAAATGGAATGGTGATGATGATGATGGTGGTGATGATGATGGCATAGCTGAGGAGAATAGTTAAAATAAACCAGACAAACCCAGAGCTTCTAATAAGCACTCAGATGCTGTCATCATTAAACCACTGCAACTTCAGAGCCATTCCCTGCCACTGAGCTGCTGTGTGATCCCATCTTATTAACTAGCTTTCTCTGTACCTAGCTCCCCAGTTGAGAAGCTACAATCCTTATTGCATGGAGTTGCCATGAAAAAAAAACTTTATTACAATTGTATTTAAACTCTCTCCAATGAGTTCATAGAGCAAACCACCTCACTGTCACTCCAG